TCTTGGCGGCGCGCAACTCATGTTGCAGCATGCAAAGTACAGAATTGCAGCTGGCGTGAGACGGTTTGCTGAGGTCAAGCAACTTCATGGCTTCGGTGAGATGTGGTAGCTTTTCATTCGTTAACATCTGAGGTGGATCTGCGACCACGTCTTTCTCCTCATCTTCAAGAGATTCATCATTGATCATTTGCACCAATTCCTCAGTGGTGAGTTCTTCAAGAGATCTCTTGTTCTTGCCTGCATGATTGATGAAGTTTGTAACATCAGATGGTGCAGCAACGCCTATGGCCTGTATGCCTTCTGCAATTTCCTGCTCAATTGCGTCTGCGTCCGGATCGGTGACAGCAACATCAATCGCAGTTACGGCTTCATGGGGTGCATTTGATTATTTGAGATCTCATTGACAAAGATGATACCTTGGTATGGCGAAAACAATTGTGGATTGTATTAGCAGTGATCTCATTCCAGTCTGCTTTTGTCCATTTCATAGCCGTCAGTTGGTCAATTTTATATAGATCTGTGCCACCCGCCTCTTCAATGTCAACTGCACGATGGATGTAAAGTCTTTGATAGTGTCGTTTGAATGCTATGATAATCCCAGCGTCCATAGGTTGCAGCTTGAAAGTGGTGTTTGGCGGCAAAAACAAGACCTTAATGTTATCAAGTTCCATAGATATGTGGCTAGGTGCATTGTCCAAAAGCAGCAACATGTACCTACCACAGTTCTTCATCTCCGTATCTAAGTTTTCCAGACATTCTTGGAAAAGCTGTCCGCTCATTCAAGCCTTCTGGTTGTGCCGATACATGAAGCCCAATTGCGTTGCGATTTTCTTCTTGAAGAGTATAGACTGTTTTGCATGGTCGATAAAGAAAGTCTCAAGCTTGTGTGAACCATCAGTGTTGGTCGTAAATGCATAAGTAAACCGCTTTTTGCTTTTCTTGAGGTCTTCTAGTTGGAACTGCGCGATAGTCCGATCAGGCGCAAATTCGTAAAAGTGTTTGGTTTTGTCCATGTTGTAAACATCAGTAGGTATATACGATGCTACCTTTTGTTGAATTTCCTTCAAGCTCGCAGTCACAATCCTCATGTCGACAGAACTGCTCTCACCCATCATATTAACAGAATGAAACCGATTGCATTAAAGAAACTTATGTAACAAGCCGTTGTAGAATTCAATGGCTTCGATGTTCAATAAAATTGCAAGCCGCTTGACTTTTCAATGATGACGGCATACGTGAGTGCCACCTTCTTGTGTTGGCATTGCAGTACTCAATTCGTCAGCGCTTCATCTAGTTGTGGATACTTCACTTTTCTTATACGCTTGTTTTGCAACTCAACGGCACTCATACTCTCCAGGTTCCTCTTCATGCCAAGAATATTGGAGATGATGGACTGTGCCGGCAACTTTGGAAGATTGAAAGTGGTTTTCACCCATTCTCTTAACTTCACTTGTTGTAGACCAGGGTTTTCCAGGCTGTATTGGCACAGTTGAAGCTTCTGCTCGTTGTTCATGATGGGGATGGGTCGCGAGAGAGCTGCGGCGCCCGAGAGTGTTGTTGGATGGCATGAAACAAAGGCAACACAATAAAGCAAAGCAGAGTTTCATTTCCCATTGTACCTCTTCAACTTGATAACCTCTCTAATTTGATCAAAAGTCTGAGAACGAATCAAAAGTCAGATTAGAGAGGTATCACTTAATGTCTTTCAAGATCCTATGATCTTGAATTGTGTACGGTTCGGCTAATGCGTTGTGAGATTCTCATACCAGATGATGAGAATACTTGTTTTGATATTTCATCAAAATCTCTTCGATAACTTAGTAATGGGACGAGAACTGTGCATGACCGACATGGATGATGGTCATGGAGAACAACTTGTGGTTGCCACTTCACACTTAGAAAGCCCTTGTCATGCACCACCAACATGGAATCAGATGTTCAGTAATGAAGAGTGGCCCAAGCCAACGAGGCTTTAAATTTTTATGAAAGATATGCCAAATGGGGTTTTTGGTGGTGACATGAACTAGGAGGACAAAACGGATGGTGCACCTCGACTTCCTAAAGGATAGCTTGATCCATGGTTGAAGCTTCACCCTACTCAGGTAGAAAAGACTTACCATCATATCATAATTCTGATGGTTTATCTCTCTCATTTAAAACTCACAGTTTGTAATTTTTCTTATGAAGCTTATGTGAAGTACAATGGCAATATAAATTGATGCCGAGTTTATGAGTGATGCGAGTCCCATCTGCATCTTGGTTAGCAGATTATTTTTCGGCGAAACACATGCTTTCAAGATTTGATGCATTTTGGTTTGCAGATCATCCGCTTATAATTTATATTTTTTCAACGTCATTCATATTTAAATATATTTCATACCAAGGAGAGTCGTTTATGTACCTCATTGGGGTTTCGGGTATGTGCTTTGGACGGATCCAAAGCAATTGTCTTTTTCTCTACTGACTCTAGTCCTTTGTCGTGCAATGCATTTGAGCATGCCTCATCGAGTTGTTGGGCCATTAAAAAATGTAAAACCAAGTTTGATATTAACACTATCCTTGGTGTCATCACGATTTCGTAATTTTATTTCTTGTTTCTCAGTAGCTTTGTTAAATGGTTCTGAGTGGTGCCATAGACACCCATGTATGCTTATGCTTACTTGCTTTCTCATATACTATTCGATTAGTTTTCGTTACTATTATCTGAACATATGTTCCAACTTCAAAAATGAGCGCCTCAAACTAGGTTTGGATCTTAGCATTTCAATTTAGGTCAGTTTACACTAACCTGGAAACAGAACTGGGGGTGACCCCAAATAAGTATCCTCCCAGTACGATCCCTAGATGCTTCAAGTTTGCAATGTCTCAATGATCACATTAGTAGTTTAGACTTGATTCCAACTAATGTTTATCTTCATAGACGAACAATTTTGTCAGTTCATACATATTATGGTACACTGATTCTTGGATTGGGAAGCTCCATCGACCTCCAGCTTCAAAATGTTGTGCTCGAAAGAAAATTCATCTGTGATATGTCTAGAACATATAAAGGTCTTATTTCCAAACCCTTTGAAGCATAGGCTTGTAAGCAGAGAAGCTTAGTCTAGTATACATAATACACAGAATCATATATTTATAACCTAAATTTGTATTAAACACACTTTCAATCAGCTCTTTTATATAGTATTGATAATCTAAAATAATCAATCATAATCAAACTAACGAAACTCAATCAAAACTTTAATGATTTATAATATATCATCTTGTATCAAGATGGTACACCTGAGAATTATATTTAAGATCAAATATAACTAGACCCTATACCTCAATTGGTGTGGCTTTAAGAAACTACTATAACAAAAAGTTTACACTCTACTAGGTCTTATATGTAAATCCTCGTTGGCAATATTCTATGACTACCAAAATCTTACTTAGTGAAACTTCGACGAACAGTCCAAGCGCGTAAAGTACTTGAATGAGCATGAAGTAAAAATACATGTCTAGTATTGTGATGGAGCTCACTAGTCTTGTGGAATAATAATACACATGGCAACCTACTTTCCAAAAGTACTAAAACTTGATTAGAGCACTTCCATGTTCACATTCGTACACTCTTGTTACCATGACATTTTTTGATGTTATTATTTCTCATTTGTGCCTTTTAAATGTTGGAACGAACGTATGGCATGGTTCATCTCTTTAGTTGTAGCTAACACAGAACGAAAGTTTTGAACACCGAGTACTCCATGATTAACAACTTTCATTTGCAGACTCAATTACATCAGATTCACAACTTTCTCACATCCTATCACATCTCATGTGAAATGATAGTAATCAAAACTCCAATCACTATTTTCAAATTTCACTAATTTTCAAGGTAATCACAATTTCCTGACTAATTGCTAATTACCTATGGTTTAGGAGGAGAATTCAAAAATCAATCAAAAGTTTTATAAAGATATAGACAAGTGATAATACGAAATAGAAATTCACAACTTTCTCACATCCTATCACATCCTATGTGAAATGATAGTTATGAAATCTCCGAACACTACTTTCACAGCTTTCTGACTAATTACATGTGTTTTGGGAGGAAAGATCAAAATCCAATCAAAAGCATCTTAAAGATATAGACAAGCGATAACGAAAAAGAAAATCACAAAGAAACAAGAACTCAGAACCACTATGGTTCTGAGTTTGACGAGGTTTTGCTAGTCCGAACTCGAACATGTAGACATCTCGAAAAAAAGTCACCACTGACGTTACTCGTCTCCCATCTTCTCCGGTACATTAAATACACTTCATCTCTGACTATCCAGATTACTACCAGGATGAATGCGGTTTGGCGTCTGTCACATAAACCTCGTTATAGATTCCGTGACTCTATGCTTCGTACTCACTAGAAAACTTTAAATGTCAGCCAAGTTCATTAGGGACATTGAAACGTACGATTGTCGAAGACTGTTTCATCCCGCTCATGTCCTGACGCACGATTATGCCTCCAGTGCGCGAGACTATGGCAGCACGAGAAAGGTACAGCGGCAAGTGCGCAACGTCTATTCGAATCCGTTAGTCGCAAACCGGTTTCGATCCTGGTTACGCGATTCCTCCATGTTGTACACCAACAGAGAAAGCCATAAACACGTAGCAAAAAAATTATTACCAACAAACTAAAACGTACTAAACAAAAGGAAAGGAACATAGTCATCGTGTACACACGTATAACCTTACATATTATGCGAAGCTACGAAGGAGTTATGGGCAGAATATACATTGCCCATATCTAGTTACATATAGACTTTAACACAATGAAGAATCGTATCCCCTAAAATTAAAACTCATATTCACACACTATTGTACCTACAGACAACCAATTCAAAACAAGATCCATGGCACAAATCAATTTAATACATCAAAGTTACTGCCATACCAGAAGACCACAAAATGCTGCACCAATGAATTACAGACTCGAATCGACAAAGAGTCTTTTCAACCTGTTGTAAAATTAACATCAGTGATGATTCAAACATTAAACTGAAATTTACAATGCCACTTCATCAAGCGAGAAGAGCAGGGAAAGAGTCAATGTGTATGACGGGTTTGCTGTATTTGAAGATTGGGCTGCTGTAGAAACTTGCCAATAAATTATATTTCAAAGGGACATGCACTACATTGAACAGAGCAATGCAAAACTTGTGGCACGAGGAACCACATGCAGTGGGCAACAACAAGTTGGACGATCACTGCCAAAGCGGAGCAAGTAGCAGCCCATCCAATAGGACGAGCCCTATGTACAGCCTATGCAGGCTCCCACTGCACACATTATATCCAGGCCCCTTCACCTGCACCATGAACAGCAGGGGCGAAATCCCCTTCATATAACTTAAAGGCAGCCCAGTTGATCCCCTAATTGATCACCCAATGCTCTTGCCACCATGACACCTACATCTGTGAGTCTGTACAGTTGGAAATAGACACCCTCACTTTATACACTGCCCGTTACAGCTACTCCTGCCGCCATGAATTTCTACTGGACACACACAAAGCTTCCTACCCTGCCATTAACCCCACTCCGTTACTAGATAATTTTTCACCCTCTGAAGAGGGTGAGTTTTAAGGCCAGAAGCTAAGACATTTGAAATCTCCACAACACCAGCTACCCTCTTGAAGGAGCCATTACTTACACGAACCACAAACAGACTATTGAAGATACATTCCGGTACAAGCTGCAACACCCTCTCCCCACCCCATCAAACCCTCCCACCTCCAGGCACAAACAGGCTCCCTTCATCTTATAGGCAAGTTGGGCAGAATGATACACTAATACACTATATACTGTTGAGAAACGAAACCATGCCTCTTCTCCCACCCCTGCTCAATCACAACTTCGCCCAAATAGATGGAAGCCTGCGCCTCAGCTCTTGCAGGAGAGACATAGCCAAGCCCTCACTTCCATCCGTACACAGCTCAAATCTCCTCATGATGACGGCATGTGGGCCAAGTTATAAGCTGCACTGGCACTCCTCCTCTCTGTAGTAACAATTGAAACTGTAATTAGTGTACGCCCTGCGTTCCTCGGTCACTCCTTTACCAAAAAAAAATCATCGCACCCACTTTTGTTCTTCTCTAAAACCAACAATCTACACATATTGCTGCTACCGATGGCTACAAGTCTAGATTTTTGGCCGCAATTATCTAGCAATCGACCATCCCTTCTACCTTGCAAAATTCAGATCAACTATCCCTCTCCTCAGGGTCGGGGTACAGGGTTAGGGTTTTTAATACATGCATCATCAAACTGATGTTGAGGCACAGTAAAAAAAGATATAACTCACCCCCGGCAGCAACAAGCTTTTCAACTCGTGCAACTATATGTTTCCCGTAAGTGTACTTCTTGAGGGCATGCAAATGCACCCGGATGCGAGAGAGCAGCATCTCTCGCTGCTGATCGTCGCAAGTTTCGAGTACCTTTTGCACGACATAATTCGCGAATTGGTCTTTCATCATTGCCTGCAGAGGACACTCAGGTAGTTAGAGGCATGTAAATACGTTCTCAGGTTTTCAAACTTGACAACAACCAGCAAGCAACAACAGGTTAGTGCGGGCATAAAACTTTCTTCCTCAATCTCTACATCTTCTGGTTTACTAGTCAGAAAAACTACGTCAGGAAATTTGAATTGATTGTCATAAAATCTCGCCTTATCGCTAACATACACAAGCACCAAACACTTTCGACCATCAATAACTTCTTCAAGAGCTCAACACCAACCAGGCCCTAAGTGTACCTGCAAAGGCTCGTTCTCATCTGTGAGGCCAAGCATCTCGTTAATCAAAATTTGGCGTTCAGCAGGTCCCCCGAATTCCAAGCACTTTTCAACTACATTCGAAGCAAATTTGTGTTGACTCATCTGTACGATTTGGCCCGCCAACTTAGTTATGATGTCGCTCCTTTCGTGTGCTCTCCCGTGTTCAAGAACATGCTGTCAGACAAGGGACAAAGTGAGAAAAAACTAGACATTTCATCCAACTCATTGTTTCATGTGAGACCTCCGTTACAGCTTTCTCCAAACATCCACACCCTTAGTGCTTGACAAGACCTGTTGGCACCACCTCGTCCATTATTATAAAGCTTGTAAACTTCACGTGCAAATGTAAAACGGCTCGCAGCCCAAATGGTCACACTTGTAACAAACGCAACAATAAACATATCAGGTGCATATATATTGGATGTGCAAACAATACTAGATCTCGCATGCTAAATAGTTGAATAGTACGACATGTCCTGCTATTGTAGTTCAGACTTGCATCAAACATTAAATACATTGGCGTGCGATGGCCCTGCAGCAGATGAAAATGACCGTACCTGCACAACATAGTTCCCGTACTGATCTTGGGCAAGATTGCAAGTTGACCGTAGAATTTCTTCCATTATTCCTCGTTGCTTCTGGTCATCGGTGCAATGCTCCAGCACTCTCTGCAAACAATATGAACAATATCAAAATTCAGACCTCTCCATAATTTACAAGCTGCTTAAGACCTTTCACGCATGCCAGTGACAAGATTTTCAAGTTACTGCTTATAGTAGCCAATGAGACGAGACACAGAGCATCTACGGACGACTCCTGTCGAGACAGAAGAGCCGCACCTGTCACGAACTAGGCGGCGCGTACTATCCACCAATTCAACGCTAAAATCTTCTCTATTTTAAGTGTTGAAATCTCCTCTTAAGTACAGGTATGCAGTTATCATCAATGACCATCTAGACATACCTGGATGACTCGGCAGCCATATGGGTGCGTGGAAAGCACAACCACCTGACCGTAAAACGCAGATATTATGAAATGAATTCTGTCTGGAGGGACACATTCGATACACTTCTGAATCACGTGGTTGCCATTTTGGTCTCTGACACATCTCATAACGTGCCCATCGAGCTCAGAAACCAACTGTGTTTGCTGGTCTACATCCACAACCTCCAGCGCCTGGTCAAAATCACCATTAAGAAAGAACATACGGTCAGAGTCACCCCTACTCTATATATGACCAACATCATGAATTCGTATAAGGGTAGGGTCTGTACATATTGATTCATCCATTGTCCAAATGCGAACCTTATTTGAAGGCAAAATAAAACACAACTTCCACTAAAATTGTACCTTTTGTATCACTCTGCAGCCATACATCTGAAGGCTCAGCGCAAGAACATGTGTGACCAATTGACTGGCCAGATCTCTTCTCTGTTGTGGGGTTCCGTGTTCAAAAAACTGACACATGCAAATAAATTCATCAAGTTGTTGCCCGCCGTGTTCCAAGGCCACATATGCAGGCTATATTAAATGACCTCAACATTCAAAATGCACAATAATCTACAAGAACTGCCGAAACGAAGCAATCAGCTACTGGCGCTCGAAAAGTCGACGGTTCACTGATGGCCAACGCAGTTTAAAATTGATCGAGGAAGGCAAATTCATGTCAGCTGACTGGGTTGACCACCTGCACTGACACAAGAAATGGTGTTCGGCCTTTTACCTTTTGAATAACATAGTTTCCAAACACATCCGTCATGAGAGTCAAAGCTCGCGGCAAAACTTCCTGGAAAACCATGGCTTTCTCTTCAGGGCTTGCTGTCTCTAGTTTCTGTTGTATGAAACGACTCCCGTGTTGATCAGCACTGCCAGATATAAACACAAGATCAGAAATGAAACCTGATCTAATGTCTCCGGTCTTGTGACATGTACCAAACAGCACGGTTTCCATCTTCATAGACGATGACTTGACACATTTCATTCCCGTTCAAGGATAATGACTAGTTGGAAGGATATTAACGGAGGAGCGTCGCGAACAGAACGACGGAAAAAAGATGTCTCATGCAAACTTCAGTTTGTATCTTTGTGGACATCCAAGCCTTTATTCAACAATCAGACCATTCCAGGTCCACCGGAAATCATGAACTCGACCTTTCTTCGATTACATATTCAACACCAAGTGGATGGTTAACAGGGATCTCCCCATGACAAAAAAAGCCAAATATACATACTAAACGAGAAAACACAGAATGATCTACAATCCCTTCATTCAGATTCCCACTACAGTCCACACAGAGAAAAAGGGCAGCAGCTTGACCTCGTCTCAGAAAGTTAGCACGTCCTAGACTCATTATTTCTTAAGCACGGAAGCACAGATCGATAGCACACAATTGACGGAGAAATGACGACAACATAAGAACTAAGTGTAGATAAGCTGTCAGGGCATAAGACACGACACTTGCCTAGTGTAGACCTGTTTCACCGTATTGTGTCAGACTTATCTACCATTAAATATGGTTAGGGTATACAACTGGATCAGTCTTCAACACTGATAACCACTTGCAGCAGTTTTGGAAAGTATAAATCTACATCTTTCTGTACCTTTGCGTTCTCTCTTCACGAAAATATACAACAATGAAATATACCTTCCCGCTGCGAAATTCTGGAAAACTGAAAGTGGCAAAGCACATGGTACATACATACCAAAATTCGAGAATTCACTGGCGATGGTAACAACATGTGTTATATGTAGAGTATATCCACATTATTCCAGGCAAGGACGAACCAAATAAGGGGTAAATTATTACCTGAACTCAACAACATGTCCGGCGATATCAGAGAGCTCAAAACGCCTGGTTTTACTGTTCTTGAACTCCTCCAACAGGGAAGACCCTCGACTCTCGTCACCGGTTTCACTCCTAGTCTGGTTTTGCCATCCAGCGTAGGTTCCTGCACCAGTAGAATTAGTTCTACTAGCTCCAGAAGTAAGGCGGAGGCTTCGGTCCTCCCTTCGTATAGACAGACTTCCAGGACCAACTGGAGAACCAGGCAACACCGGACTGGCCATCGGAGAATTGGGGTAAGGCATAACGAGGCCAACGTTGGGCGGGCTCCCATAATAGGCTGGACTGACGGAGCCACTTTTACTGGCAATCGGTAGGCCTATAGCCCCACTTCTAGCGTATTGGGACTTTTGTTCCTGAGTGTAACCGAGCATAGCGTTCAACTGCCCCTTTTGCAACTCCAACATGTCCACGTGTGCGCCTCCCATATAATTTCTCATCACTTGTGTCGGATCACTTAGAGCTGCAGCTGCCCTGACCTCCTCTGCTGCACGTACATACTGCAGATACATGGGTTCAGGAATTGGGGGTGGCAGCCCAGTTCCTCCTTGCCCCACGAATTTGTATAACTGCTGAACATCAAGCGCGCTTTGTGCTGGAGAGCCTGGAACAGTTCCCCTTCCTCCCATGGCTGCAACGGCTGCAGCAGCAGCGGCATTGTCAAAAGCAACAGGCGCTGGGTAACCAGCCATCATGGGAGCCAACAAGGTTGGATTCATTGGATACCCGCTGAGTCCATATTGTGGGGCATACACTGCAGAATGCATATTTTGGAAGTACGGACTGCCAGCGGCCATGGAGTACATCGCAGCTGCTGCTGCAGCATACATGGGTCCAGCAGGTCCAGCTTGCAATGCAGGTTGCAAACTCGCAGCTGGAGCTTGTTGAGTAGGAACATTGAACTTAACCTGCCCTCTGTAAGAAGAAGGATCCAGTCCTGCATACAGCTGCTGCTGTTGCTGCTGTTGTTGCTGCTGCTGTAATGCTTGACTGTACACAAGCTGAGCCTGAGAATGGGCGGCCTGTGCTTGGGCTTGCGCAATCTGTCGCTGCTGACGCTGCTGTTGTTGCTGTTGCTGCTGTTGCTGTTGTTGTTGCTGCTGTTGTTGTTGTTGCTGCTGCTGCTGCTGGAGTCGGAGATGTTGCTGTTGATCCCTTATCTCTTGCTGCAGCTGCTGATGCTGATGTAATTGTTCTCTTTCTTCGGCGACTCCCTGGACGTCTGCAAGGCTAAATCCTTGAAGTGCTGCAGCCAATTCTGCAGCCGTAGCTGCGCCACTGAGAGAGACACCTCTTGAGTCCATTAACCCCGTGTTTCCCATCATTGCCGGGGCGGGACTGACCGACCTGCTTCCGATTGGAGAATCCAATGGAAGAGAAGTCCCCTGCCCAGACGAATTCTGCCCACCCATCATCTGTGGAATAGGTGTCGTTGAGCGGGAGCCGAGTCCAGCGGCCTGCAACTCAGCTGCTGTGATAGAGGGTTCACGCATGTGAGTCAATTGTGAATCCAGGACATTTGAAGAATCTCCCTCATCATTGGCTGCTCGACTTGAAGAACGGGAATGATTGTAGACAGGAGAAGGGGTTCGCGGAAAATCCTCCTGTCAAATCCGATACAAGGTCGACGGATCCGTTTAGTCCATTGTATGATCTTCCAATATACAGACCCACTCGACCGGTCCATGACGGACAACAGATACGGACACGACAGTAATTCAGAACCATTGCACAAGAAAAAAAACAATGACCTTGAGACGATTTCGAACATCGTCAAGACTTGCAGACACCAGAAATCCTAGGTCTGCCCAAATACAGGAATCCATGAGGTCCCTAGCCAGAGTTCCGAGTACGAAGTAAGCGTCTCGGAGTTATCACCGACACACTACCCGTGAATGTCTGGCTATTGTGAAGAATTTAATGTTAGACATTAAACTCTTCACAATGGCCAGATCCCCCAATAGCTTCCTGAGAAAAGACTGGATACTAGGATGATATCTCGCAGAGACTGTTCGGACCTACACCACCCGGCATCTTATGAAGCCACTCAACAAACGAATTCCTTGTCAACTTCAATCTGACAACCATGACCCGTGAACGTTGCGTCCAACGCGGTCCACAACGAATCAAGAGCCAAGGGGCTTAAATTTCGAGCTTATCATGCAAGATCCGTAACATCTCGGCAAGGGAGTCGCACACGCTCCTGGCTATTAAGACTTACAATAGGAAAGGAAAAAAACAAGTGAAAAGGTGAATAATAGTCCAACATTCTTTATGTAGTACATGGATTTTAGATTCAGAGTTAATGGGGCCTCAATCACACCAATCCAGCATGAGCACACGTTCGAATTTGGAAATATAAGATGATAGTCAACCTAAAAACACGTTCGAATTTTGAAATTTGAAATCACAGTCCAACGAAAAATTGCAGGCTGATCAGGCCTACAATACTGCAAAAATTCAACCTTCTAGCTCTTGGGAGTCACTCTTTTGCTGAATTAACGGCTGCTGGACAAGGGGAGTGTGAAATTGTAAGAATCTACAAAGAGATCCCGCTCCTGACCACTCTCAATGTTCGCTGGTGTTTCCTAATTACTCAAAACAAGGCTGTAATGATTGGATGTAAAGGACATTACTCCGCAACATAACTTCCGTTAACGGATCACGATAAAAAATTAAATAAAATTCGGCCCTCCAATGCTTCCCACAACGGTTCTGGGAGCTCTTTGCAATCATGACAAAGCGTATCCAGTAATCGGCGGTGCTCTGACTATTAAAAATACACATCTCCCAGAAATCGGCGGTGCTGTGACTATTAAAGAAAACGCATCATCCTGTCTTCAATTTTTGGATCTGACAGGCTGTTCCATTAATGGATGGAATGATGAAAAAGTTTCTTTGAAATGTGGAAGATCCCAATACCAATAATCTTGCATAAGGCGGCGGACAGTTGAGGTGGAATACTGACAAAAGACAGAACCGCATCAAGGGCTATTTTCCTATAAAATTCGCATGACAACGCCGTATGAGCAGTGGCTTCTGTTTACAGTAAGCAGCCAGCCACCGCATCTGCATGGAGATGCGGTGTATTGATAGTTGTACCTCCGATTTTCCGAAAAAAAAATTTCAGTGTATGAGGATATTAAGAGCCAAAAACTCTTCGATGAAGCTTGTCAAGCTACACCACCGTTCAATATTTTGAAAAAAGACGGCATACGATGCATCTACGGCACTAATTGTGACGAATCGTTGTAGGTGTAACAGAGGTCTTAGAAAGTGCACGATTTGCAGTCAGCAGAGGAACATGAGAAACGATTGACTTGATTTAAACCCATACACTCCTCATAACAGTGGAAATTCCTCGCATGAGGCATACCTCAACCGATACATCCATCTTGACAGCACTGTATGACCGAGAAGTGAATCGCTTCCATGGAAAAACTCAAGCAACACAGTGAGCGGCGGCAGTGAGAAGCGGGTTTACTTGCGATGCATGTGCTTCTCGCCGTTCCGTTCAACTTGGTACGGGTAAGATGTAAGGCGTCACTCTTTTCAAAATGAAGGAAGACCCACAAGTCAACAGTAAAGACCTCTCAGCCAGTAGAAGTCGACCTCATACTCGAACAGAAAAGCAATGATAGAAAGACTGGAAAGAGGGTAGAGCGGTGAACATTTGACTTACTTGAATGAGATCCACCAGACTCTTCGGTCGTGCTCCCATACCCATACTAGAATGTCCCATCATGGCATCACCTCTTTCCAGCCATTCGCTCGAGCTCTGCCTGGCCAGATTTTCAAGAGGAGAGTTATCATCATCCAAAGGCTCTGGCTCCTCCCTGTGCGTTGGCAACACTGGTTGCGTTGAGAACAAAGATTTGCTGTTGTTATCATCAGCAGATCTGACTTTCCTCTTGTCCCCAATGCCACCCAAAAGTTGTCTGGAGTTCGAATTGAGTTGTTGCGCAAGACGCCAGTGCTCTCGAGAAATAAGCGGGGTTGGAAGCCTCGGATTCAAGTTAATGTGCGAATAATAATAGGCTAAATATGCTGGATCTGATCGCAGTTCCTGCTCACTCTCCATGCCAGCGCTCTCAACCGCTTGTTTGGCAATACGATTAGCCGACCTGGGGCTGGGAGGACCAGGATGGTGAGCAAATAGGCCGCCCATGGCAGCTAGGGAACCCTCCACGCTCGGTGGCGCACTCCCGCTTCGCTGAGGCACATCCCTCGTACCACTAAACACGTTCTCGAATCGAGATCGGTTCTGTTGCCCTTTGAACAACAATCCGAGTTCTTGGGCAACACCATCTCGAGCAGGTGAAGTACCATGCCCACCTGCACCAGCGCCTCGGAGGCCATCACTCATAGGCCCAATTCCACTCCTGATTCCCCCACCTGACAGCATTCTAACAGGACTCTCGGTCGCCATTTATGTCGCTATTTCCTATAACCTAGAAACAAACTCTTGCATGGCCCGTTGCAAATGTTTGAATAAAAGCTAGATTTCCCTCGTTCCGCACCCTGATGTGCATCTACCACTTGGGCATCTATGCCCATCTCGATACTCCGAACATTGTGCTTAAGCTGAGGCACAGCTCTAGAAGCTAGCACTGTCTCTCTCAATATTTGGGTTTTCCTCCGATGCAGATGTCGCTTTCAATTCGGACAATTGTGCGACTTATTCTTGATTCGAAATCAACGCGGAGTGAAAAACTGAGAGACCTCGGCGCACTGCTGCATCAAGGGTACGGCCTGCTACGTCTGCATTGAAAATAATCTGCCTGCTGCAAAGTGCTCTCCGCTAACCCAGTGCAAACCTAGTTCATGCTCCGTGAGTCGCGCACTAGAGATGAGGCAAACTTCGCAAAGCCGGAACTCCCAGAATATGCTCGATCAAGAACTGCTGTAGGCTGTCCGCCCAATTGAAATATATGAGACCCTGTTGTTACGGCCCAAATTACCTCCGCGGGAACAGAGAGGCGGGAACAGAGAGACGAGAGTGCGTACGGAACCTTGCAAGAAATCAAGCAACAATATACTCTCTGGAAAACCCAAGGTACTCTGTAAAACTCAATGTGCTGTCCCGGCTGCAAGAAATTTAAGCTCGATCGAGGGATACAGAGTAAAAAACTCAGCAACAAACCGGAGAAAATATACACGCCCTCCAAGAAAAGATGAGTTATGGTCAATGCACCGGTGTGAAGCAAGATAAACTCGGAAAGAAGCCACGAACGCGTTGGAAATTACAGCGTCGAACTGCTCCCCGCTCTACACAACCTCGATACTCCACTCCACTGTACACTGGCGATTAGGTTACCACCTTCGATGCCAGGAGCTGGGCTGAGCCTCCAAGAGAATACACTTTGACAAGGCGGCCTTCCTCTCAAGGTGAACTGAGATATCAAAATCCGATCTCACTTACGAAGACCTGTGGATTACTGCCCTATACAATTCGAGCGCCAGCTCTGACACCTCGTCCCACAATCGACGAAGCCCTCGAGCACGACCTATTCGATCGAAACAAACAATTTTGCACAAACCGGTCGCAATTACGATCTCCAGCCAGAAACAAAAATACGTGAAACCTCTACCGATTTAAAATATTTCTTAAGCTTCCTGATCTCGAAAACCTAACACCACTTCTGCCCTACGCTCGACAAGAAAATTGCGAAAAAACCCCGTCTACGCTAACGATCGCGACCTAAGGCGGCCGAATGAGGAAGAAAGAGGAGGGAGTTGAGACGCGGAAAGTAAAAAACGGGTAAGAAGGAGAGGAGAGCAAATGATGGATTAGGAAAGTTAGTAAAGCAGGCTGTAGGAGGGAAAAAAAGGACGGAAGCTCAATGAAAAAGTCTTGACGTCAACGAGTCCGATCCCTCCCATTCCTCGCTACCTCTTCTTACTTGGCTATGGCGGACGGACGCACTAGTGGAAAATTCCCCTCATGCGAGCGCTACTCCTCATGGATGTTCCCTACTGCCTCCCCCCACCCTCCCCTCCCCCTGGACCCCGCTGCCCTTCCCGCACCACCACCACCCACCCCCACCCCCACCTCCCCTCCAGAGCTGATGGCGCTCCCCGCCCGTCGTCGCTCGCCACGCTCTCGCCCCGTCCTGCACCCGTGCCCTACAACCGTACCGGAGCCCGCCGTCCGATGCGCCCATCGGACGGCGGGTGCCCGCGCGCCCGGGGCCGGCCCAGGGCTTCCTCCGTTTTAGGGTTTGCCTCAGCGGGCCGTGATTTTGCCCCATATCCTAAGCTCCAGCAGGGCCTGCAATTTCCATCCCGGATATCCCGGAATAATCAAACGGCTCGCGGCCTAGTATAAGCCGTAGAAATAAATGGCAGTTTGCACTGCACGTTTTGTGAGTGCCATGAATGTGCTCTCCTTGTCTTTTGGTGGTCGCGTGATTCGTCACTCTCGACTCCTCCCTCGGCTTTATCATCATTTCACGGCAACAACCAGCGAACGCATTTCGGATCCGCCCCTTCCCGTCGACGACCGGCGATCTCCTGTAAGCTCTCCCAGATAAGTTTAGTTAGACCGCTTTCTGATTCGCCGCGCATGAGCGTGCAGTCCCATGCCATACGACCTCCTGTACCGACAAGTATACTCGTTGCTCTCCGTATCGCCAAACTATCCGACGGTTGGGAAGCGAAACTGCCGGATATTAAAGCCGTGACCGGTCACAGACAGTGGAGCTCCGGGTAACCGGTTTCCTTCGCACTCGCCTCCACCTTCCGTCCCGCCGCCGCCCTCGCTGCCGAACCTGGGCTGCTATCCTACTTGGCAGCGGCAGCAAACAGCAACGGTTTGTAACACCCTTACAGCGAGGCGCTTTGACCTTCGACAACCAGACCGAACCTACCAGCAACTTCCGACAGACCGGCACGTAAGGTACGACACGTCAGCATCGCATCATCTGACGGTCGGTACAAGCGTCCAACACCTACGCTGGTGGGAACATAGTTCTTCACGTACCATCTTGGGATGGTCATCGAACGGCCAAAGTAGACTCTCCACGATCTAACTACGGTAGATAGAGGTGAATCCGATCTTACCGTCCTCCCCACGAGTAAATCAGATTTAGGGCACGGCTGCGGCCCTCTATATCGCGAACAGGACGATCGCCAATGATTTTTCCAACTGTGCTGCGAAACACTTCATACTATCAACAGATCGCGAAAATTGCGATGGCATATCGCGTGTTGGCAGTTTTCTCGTTGGAATTGGAAATGAAACCCGGAAGCAAACAAGGCCGGTCTTTACGCTACACGACAACGTGTCTTCTTTCGATGTTGCCTTTTCAAGAATTTTTCGTTTTCGTCGTTTATTCTCTTCTATAGATATTGGACAAAACCTCGGTACCTTTGGCTTCCGATGGAGAATAGTCCAAGTATTTGTAAGCCTTATTTCCCCATCTTCCCCTCTCTCATATCTGAATTGTCATTGGCATGTTTCATATCTCGAGATGCCCTATCTCTTGCTTTTGCCATCTTTACCCCCTTTTATATAGAACAATATTGTCGAAACATATGTAGTTGTTATCTTTCTAGTTGACGACTTCCTGATAGGTACATAGAAAAAAAACTCATTTCCTGAAATGAAGATGATGCCGAAATTACGCACAGAGCCAGTGTAAACAGGATTCAAATCTAGAGCGTTACATATCTTCCACGATGCACTAGGAGAAGTAAAAAAGACATGAGGCAAAGTGGATTCCAAAAGATTTGGAAAAACCACATCAAGACGGACAAGGAAGAATTGGACGAGTATCTATAATATTCTATAACAAAGAAAAATATGTCATACTACAGCTTCAATATTGAAACTACCGTGATGGACTCGATTATCAAGAAATAGTGAAATCATTGAACTTTTTTAATATATTTCAAAAGCACTCGTCAATACATTATGAGAAGCGTCTTAAGATGAACACATGCTGTCTGAACTTTTATACACAATATTATAGAGAAAGTGTAATACGTTGCTCGCTAACATGAGAAGCTGTTCTACCCTCTATGTAGAAAAAATCAAATGTCAACATATAAAAAATCTATTCCATCTATTTCTATTTAATACTAGAGTAAAAACATATGAATTTTGTGTAAAGTCATATATATTGAGAACTTTTATACTACCGCTTCACTCACCATCCATTAAGATTGATGAGTAATTCATAAAGTAACATTTTTGTCACATGTCAAAATATCCATTCACACCTCTATATAACTATCATTGGTGACTACCAAAAAAATGCACTCTGTACTTATACATAAACCTTTGGTTGCACTAGATGCCTATCAAAAGAGATGGTGGTTTATTCATTTACAAAAACTTGTCATATATAGTAGTAATAGCTTGGTAGTTTTGAAATAACTGTAGATCTTCAACGACACTCTTATTGTGCAATACAAACACTCTCTTCGTGTGAGGTTTACACGTTCTATACACATGGAATGAAGCTATTATTTAAAAATAAACTTTATCCTTAAGATACTCCAATTCATTTGAATACCTTCTTCTGTACATAAGAATATGCAAATAGTGAGCACTTGGAGCATTCTGTTAATGTTATACTCCACACCATTCACATTTGCACGTTCCCATTGTATATTACATGAATTTTAAAAGTCAATTTTCAAAATCTTGAACCAGATTTTGAGATGGAGAAAAGTCTCCTATCATATACACCGACTCTTGTAAACCGCTTGACTATGGGAGGGTATGAAAGACTATATAACAAGCGAGGTATTAAAGAAAGAAGCATAAGATTCTATCAAGACAAGCAACTCTTTGACTTAACACAATTCACGAGCAAGAATATAGTATGCTCTAAAATGGAACTAAAATTTAAAATTTCATAAGAAACGTTTGGACAGGTAAATTAGGTGAAAAAATAAATAAATTCAAAATTTTGATATATTCTTACTTTAAGTTTGTAAAAATTTCATTGTATATGAAAATTGCATATATCTTTGTGTTAGCCAAAGAGACATTTACAAAAGAAAATGCACAGTATATTGATTATCATGCAACTTTGATATTTGTTTTCCTGAATCTTATTGCAATTTTGAAATACTTTTCTCTAGTCCAACATAATAAACTAATAACCAACAACATGTTGTGCATCTCTTTCACACACAAAATATATAGGATCTCTCTACTTTTTTCCACATTCATTCACAACACATTTCACAAGTATGCAAGATAAGTTATTGAGATTTGATCCTATGCTTCTACTTAAAACTACATAGTTAAAAAAAATTTGTTTAATAATCCTTTTAAACTTGCATGATATGATTATATTTGAAGTAACATCAATATTTGAAAATTTATGTTATATATTTTGATTAATCGTTAAGTTCAAAGAGTCCAAAATTCTGAAAAATTTTATTCTGTAATGAATAATCAACCATCTAGTATATCAATTAACCCATATTTTTTACAAACAAATATGAACAACACGTAGTAACAAAAAGTAATGAATGTTTTATGTCAATAAATATACTACGTTGTGTATCTCGATTTATAAACTTAAAGTTCAAAAATTTTAAAAAATGAAGTTTTTTCAAATAATGATAAGTGTAGATGAAACTCTCGTCTTAACAATTTTTATCCATTAAACTTACAGATTTTGTTTAATTCAATGATTATAATGATTGCAACATATTCAAATGTTTTGACATTTTGGTTTTTTTTCCATCTTGATTGTTACTCTACAAGTTAACAAAAATTAAAATATCTGAAATTTGTTTTGACATCATCCACGTTGAACAACATAATGTGAATATTACTTTAGAAACTGTGTGAAGTAATGAAAGCAAAGTTTAAGATTGTCAAAGACGAATTATAAACTTGTTGTAAACAAAAATATTTAATATATTTTATGAACTTTGATCATTATGTTTTGAATTTTGATGAATCTTTGAAACCTTTATACAATCAAAATAAATTTTGAAGTGTATATATGTCTGAATGAATTTCATCGCACATTCAATGTTTGACAATTTGATATACAAATTGCCCAAAATAGTTAACACTACTTGTTGTAACATTTTTGATTGATTTTTATTAAGACATTTATTATGCTTTGGGTTTATATTGATTGGTGATAAGTTCAAAGTCAATATCTAAGTTTTTTTTTAATGTTACAAAAAACTACTAATGAACTACTGATTTTTTTAGCATCATGATTATTAAATCTCATAGTCATGATGCTTACGACTCAACTGCTTATAAAGTAAATCTTAAATAATTGTTTGAAGTAAAAATGTTTTGTTTCTTGAATTATCATTAAAAAATGCAAAAGTAAATAAATTTACAATATTTTTATAACGTTATATATATTTTATGATACATTAGAATTACTTCATTTTTTTCAACTCAAATAAAATTGATTGGAAGATATATAATCAATCATTCATATAAAAAAATAACAATTTTTTGTAATTTATCTTAAATTAAACCTTAAAAATTTGTCAAGTCTTATAAAAGTCTGGATTTTTTTAATTAATAGTTTTAGTTCAAAAAGATTTTAAATCTTATGAATGATATATGATTCAATTTAAGCATAAATATTTCATATTTCTTTGATTTGAAAATATCAATTTTAAAACTTAGTAAATTGTTAACAAGGTAAAAAATTTCAAATTTTCAATTTTCATTGATTTATTACCAATATTCAACAAACCAGCATGAATTTAATGAAATATATTTGAAAATAAAAAATAAATTTAAATGAAAAAACTTTCATGAAAATTTAATTAGTATTATTTTTTAGTTAAAATTAAAGATTTTTTGTGCATCTAATTGATATCCTGATAAATAACTATGTGTTGTTCAACTTCTCACACACACAATTTCATATTGAATATTTTTTGTTTACATATTCATAAACAATAATATATATGCAATATCAAAATTGCCAAGTACAAATTCTAGAAATAAAACCTTATGTGTTGTATATAGATTTACAAACAAATTAAAGTTCTTAAAATATTGTTGAATTTTATTGTCTTCAAGCTAACACTGTGTGTGTGTGGAGATATCATTTATAATACAAGATAATTTATAACCTTTTTTTCAAAGCATATTTAATCACTCAAATATTTATCTAGTATATCGATAAATCCTGAAGGAATAAAAGTTACATATTTCATAATTTAGCATTCAATCACCAACCAAAAATATTGTTGTTCATCATCGATTGATTAAGTAGAAATAACTCACACTAATCTCTAAATAAGAATGATATGAATCCATATTTGAAAATATTTTAATTTTGATTTATAAAAAACAAATGTAATA